AACTTTTTCTAAAATTATATTCTGCATTATATTAAGTATATTATTTATAGTTTTATATCTTTAGTACTAATATAATTATTCTTTAAGTTACTTTCTTAAACTATTACTTTTTACCTTTTTTTATTTTTCTCTTCTAATATAAGCTTTATTAATCCGAAATTACTATTTTTAGATAGAGATTTTCAAAGGTTTTCGAATAATACTATTTATAGATCTCTAGCCCTAATAATCAGCCTGATGCAGCTAATTTAAGTTTTACTCTTATAATTTACTTTTATTGTTCTTAACGCCAAGGCTGCAGCCAGGTCTTAATGAATTTTGATGTTCTTAACGCCAAGGCTGCAGCACTCTTCCATAATTTTGACCGTTCCTAATGCCAAGGCTGCAGAAATAACCTCACCGCTAAACACGGGTACCTCTTAACGCTAAACTTAGCAAGGAAGGAGGCCACTAACAGAGGTTAATCGGGATCACAAGGGATAGCGTTACTATACCTTTTATTTCTTTATAGCTAATCTATGTTATTACTATAATATTCCTCCTAGTTAGGTAAACAATAAAGGGCAGGGATATTTAGTAATAGTACTTCTTCCTATTCTCCTAGCGTTGCTGTCACCTGCAACTTGTAGTCTGCTAGCCAGACGTCTAAGTAAGAGTATCAAGCAACACAGCTTTAGCTGGTACAGCCGTATAGCTAACAATCTCCTTGTAAGGCAGCGTGAGCTGCTGCAACTACTAAGAGGATTTAGCTATACATATATAGCCAAATCCTAAAGCGGCTTAGCGCTACTCTAGCGTGTTATATGCCCTGATTTCCTGTGCTATAGCACAGGAAATCTTATTTAGGTAGTTATTAGAAAATCTAGATAGAAATATATATAACACTACAAAGTAAGAACTTTAATAGCTTATATTAATAAGCTTATCTTTTAGCTTAATTATATGCTTTAAATAGTCTTTAAAATTAATTATAGCCTTATTAATAATAATATTAAAAAAGAGAATAAAGGAATTTCAATATACTATTTATATAAGACTAGTAATATACTAAATTTAATAGAACTAAAGTATATTTAAAGGAATAAGGCTACTTTATATACTAAAAAAATAATAGATTTATTTAAATTAATTATATCTTATAAATTAACTAAGTTTATAAATTTTCTAATAATCCTCTTGAACTACTTATCAAGTAATACGCCTATAGCTATAGCGGACTCGTAGTAACGACTACGTAACACAGCGTAAGGATTTGGCTGTACCGTACAGCCAAATCCACGTGACCTAATTTCCTGTGTCTTGGCATAGGAAATCCTTATTAGGGAATTCAGGAGTATAACTGAATTCTCTCTTTGATAGTCAAGTAGTCCATAGCAGCACAGCAGCCTACGCTCAATAGGATAGCGTTTTCACACTACTAATTAGTATAAGCCAAAATAGAGATTTATGCCTAGATATACATGTATTTTTGCTGATGTAATAAGTACCTAAGGGCAGTTTAACAGGAGAGATAAAAAAGGAAATAGAGAATTTCAAAGTTGAGATTCAGCGTACAAATTAGTCTCTTTAGAGATGATTTCCACTACAGAGTCACTAAAAAAGAGCTAAAAAAAGCCTAATACAGATAAATCAGTATATTGAGGAGCTCCTTCTCGATTTTCAACGTAATTAGCCTCAAAATGAGGAAGTTCTGTTGAGATGAGTGTGGGTGATTCATCTGCGCATTCTGACGCAGGAGCAATCACTGCCAAGGCTTGATCGACATTATTTCGATCAATCTTTTCAGGGTCAATTCTGCGCCGTTTTCGTTGGTTATTGTTTTGAGATATTTGCGGAGGTGAGTTCTCTCTATATCTAATAGGGATTTGCGTATTTCGACGTGGTCGTAGCATTGGAGGTGGTTGAAAATTCATTTCAAAAACCAGCTGCGGAGAGCTATGGCGATCAAATGCGGCTCAAAAACCTTATTTTTACGCCAAGACGCTATTAGTACCACCCGACCTCGGAGGGGATAGAAGTGGAGCTGACCCTTGAAATTCTATCCAATAACGCTATACACGTGTACTGATTGATTCTGGCGCTTTAACTCTCTATATCTATATTCTGATTCGAATTAAATCAAAATACAGAAATAAAGAGGTCTTCTTCTCTTAAATCCTGCCTTTTTGCTGATTTTGTTAATTTTAATATATAAAACGTACAAGAGCTTTTTGTTAACGCTTTAAAATGAGTATGATGCTTATATAAGGGCCCTGATGCTTCTGGCGAAGTCTTTGCCTAAATAATAGAGTTAGTGACTTTATTAATAGTATTTATATAGGGTTTTACCTGAGGTTTTAGTCCAGATTAATAAGATTGAAATTGATATTTTGTTTAGGGTTTTTCAGTGATTTTTTGAGCGAAATCCTCTGAATCCACACAAAATAGAAGATTAATAAGATCTTCTATATAGTCTTGATGCTGATTTGTGTCTCGATTGCCGTTTTAAGTTGTTTTAGAGCCATTAATAGCTAAATAAAGTTTATAGCTATTTGTAATAGCTAAATCAAGATACTAAAAAACTCCTAGAAGGAATTCCTTGAGATTTCGACGAAAATGAGTAGTAAAGGCAGCTCGGAGCTGATTTGCTTGATCTACCCCCCTTATATAATGATTATAATAATCAATAAATAGGGGGATAAGAAGAATTTTGGTCGTTGAGTCTCTAAAGAGTTTTCAAGTAATTGTTAAATTTAAGGCTAATTTTCAGGGTCTTTTTCGCTCGCGTTTAATTAATTCGGGTAAAGAAAATCCGCTAGTCATTTTAGAATCCATTGTTCCCTAAATTTGAGTGAGTATTAGTAGAGAAATAGAGGAATGAAGAAGGGGGGAGGAGGAAGGGGATCTGAGAAGTCCCGTAAATTTTGGCGCCAAGCTTCGGCCCTACAACAGCTGCGCAGTACTAGTAAGTTAGTTCAGCGCTAGTATCTTTCCCTGTAAACGCTGTCTGTACTACGGTACCTGGGATAGTATCCCTAGCACGGCGCTGGTATTTGCCACTTCGAACAATGGATACAGGTAGCCCTGTCGATCTTGACAAACTAATCTTAATTGGGCGATTTTTGGGCACTCTATCCTCGCTATGGCAAAGTGTTGATACGTAGCGTAGTAACTTTACAAGACCTTTCTAGCGCTGTGCTAGGGATACTGATGCCTCCCCACGTAGTACAGAGCAGCTATGCTCCAAAAAAGTTGGAAGCAATGATTAAACTCATCAGATTGGGTTCATATCGGAGAAGCTTTGAGTTAACGAATCACAATGATGTATCAGCGTCACTAGAACCAGCGACTACCAGCACCATCCTTCAAGCCCCCCGTAGTTGTACCCCAAGAGTCCCACGTGTGTGGACGTGGATGCATCGCGGAAGCACCTCGGTGCATCCCACCCCTTTCATGAAATACTACGTAAGGCTGCGGCATGTTGCATTTTGACACGTATCACCACAGAAGGTATTACCGGGAGATCAACCGCAAATAATACCGAAGCCACGGAACAGGACATCAGATGCAGAGAGCGCATTCGTGCATTTCAGTGATCATGATGCAGAGCTGCACATGGCATGTCATTGAAAGAAACAATAAACAGTGAGTGGGCCACCTCGGGAGTCCGGAGGTGGAGATGGAGAGGTTTAGGCAACCCATTTCTAGATTCTAGACCTCCTTGCGGGGTTCATTGATAGGTTTAAACAAACGCGTACTATACTAGTACATTTGAGCCCACAGCTCAAGAACAACTCCCAAAGGTGCTCTTGGACGAAAATGAGGGAAACGCACTTGGATGATCTTCTACTACGTGGTAGGTAGCTAGTAGTAACTGCTCTTATAAAGCTTGCCGGCAAGAAAGTTTATCTGGTCAGTGGTCAGTCCAATTCCCAAGAATGGTGCAGCACTGGTGCTGTGTACAGAGGGAGTACAGTACTCAGTCATTGTACTTCTCCGGCTATTTGGAGTATCAAATACTACTATGTAGATATAATTCCTAGCGACGAAGTAGTACGGAGTACAAAATTTACATTTAAGCTAGATTCTTAAGTATTTGAAGTTTTGAGTTCCAACGTGCGCTACAGCGGGAAATACGTAGTACACTACTAGTGGTTAGTTAGGGCTGTACCCCGCATTTCCTTTCTCCTTCCCGGCGCTTATAATGTCTGACGAGACTGTACAGTTCCGTCTCGTCCTGGCCCTGCTCTTGGGGCTGTCCTCTGTGGTTCCTTGTGACACTGTCTCGTAACACGCATATGTAGTGTGAAGAGATGAGTCGTCTACTACGGTACCAGGCATAATTAATGTAACTCACACACCAGTAACAGTTTCTAAACGCCAAGAAAGAACGTCGCAAATCGCTGGATTAGAACTTGTCTGTTACTCACGTTGATCGCGTGTAGTATTTGAAGAAGGAGGAGTTTGAGGTTTCGTAGAATTCTTAGATGGCGCAGAATGAGATAGAATTAGTAGAATAACGTGTAGAATCAACACGACGACAGTGAGGTCATAGCGCTAGTGGGGCTGTACAGGATGGGATTTGGTACCCTGTTACTAGCGTGAGAGTTACATTAATTATGCCTGGTACCCGTAGTACTCGCATAATTTGATTTGTCACTGGGAGGACCGGATGCTCAGAAACGAGCTAGAATATTTGACTCAATTTGATTCAAATGGACACCCTGGCTGGTCTGACCTGGGCAACCAGGATAGTATCAAACAGCCTAGAAGAGAGCCTTAAAAGTGGTTTGACTAAGAGGGCTTTGCCAGGCTTCTCAGGGATTTCATCCCCAAGACATTCGGATTTATGCTGACGCTAAAGCTTGCTAGGTTATACTATACTCTTAGCATACATCTATGAAATTTGATGCACAACTCCGTACTATTACTGCATAAACACAACTTGCCCAAGCAATGTACATGACAGATGTCTCAACACCATATCAGTCACCCTGATCAAGCCTCCTGGGAACACAAGCTTAAGTCGCAGACACTGTCGTCGTACTCGCCTTAAGGAAATCATTTCCCTGCGGCCGTCCTCCCTTCTCAATATGCTCGAGTTTCCTCTTCCCTGCTTCCAATCGCTTACCAGAGTTCCTCAATAGCGCGATGGTAACTTCAAAGGGAAACTCCTTTAGAATTAACCCAGGAATAGCAAAATCATCGCGAAATTCCCCTAACTCCGCTTCAACACGATAGAGCGCTGCCATGGTCACCTTCACCGCATTTGAAGAGCTCTCGTAAAATCCAGTCAACTCCGTCAACAATGAGGTGTGTGATTTATATCGGTCGTAGTCATTAGCGCGTGCAAGACGAGTCCACAGCGCGCCCAAAACGTCCCTACTAGGTAAATCGCCAATCTCGTCAATAGAAAGCTCTTTAATTCGGTCGAGGGTACCTTGAATGATGTCAAGGTCATGAGCGAGATTGAAGGAGTCGTGGATGAGCAACTTGACTTTGTCGCTAATTCGGGCTGCAGTGTTGATGAAGACATGCTTTACCTGCTCTTGCTTATGGCCTGCGTTTTTGGCAAGTTCAAACGCCGCGAATGGACTGAACGCTGATATAATTTGGCCTGCTAAGTTTGGTTGGTTTCGCTGCCGTTTGGGGATGTCCTCAAGAGCCTTTACTGCGTAATCATCCAGGGTTTTGATTGTATCAATTGACTTGCCAAATCTAGCCGTGAAGCGTGACAAGTCTCTGGCAGACTCCCCGTTAGTGGTGGATTAGAGGAACACAAGGTGCGCTTACCTGGCTGTTTGTTTCGTGGATACAATGAGTGACTCCAGCTCCCGTGTGAACTCATGTTTACGTGGAAGACTGCTCGCCGCGACGCGAATTCTAAGATCTCGAACGGCAAATTCATGACCTATCATGTCTCTTGCTAGACCAAAGTTCTGTCCGACTTGATCCATAACGACGGTAAGCACTTCTTGGGATGTGGCAACCTTCAAGGCATTGATAGATCGATCCTTTGGTTCGGAAAGCACTGTACATAATGGTATCTGAGGTGCAATAAATGGGATAGAACACAACGGAGCCATTGCCGTTGTCGCGAAGCGATATACAGAAGCCACGAGATATGTGATTGCCATCCATATAATATAGCCAAGAAGAAACCATTTCCAGATTGGATAAAGTACTTTTGGAAGTCTCAAAGCGGTCTTGGTCATTCTGTAGCCGTCTTCTACCATATCTGAGAGAAGGAATCTTTCTTCTGGCTGTCCAGACGCTTTTTCGTCAGAGATTGAACGATCATCCTGTGCAGTCATTGGATCTGAGATCTGGGTGTTGGAAGTTTTGTGTCTCTGTCGTACCGTTGTAAAACTGCCATCATGACGCTGGTCTTCACTTTCATTTCTGGGATCCTGAGTGCCATTCTGGTTATCAGATGGATGTCCGGAAGCATGATATTGCTCAGAAACCTCGGCGACTTCTTGGCTGACTTGGTTCTTCTTTTTACTCTTCTTTAGTGTAGGGTGTGAACGGGCAGCATTTTCAGGAGGCGGGTTTTGCGATTCGAGCGTGTCAAGCTTATTCGGTTGGTTATTGCTCAGATGAGAAGGCATGTTCGGGTAGAAAGAGGCGGCATTTTCCATGCAGTCGTCTGGGGTCAAGTGGACGACTTCGTTGCCCGCTCAACAATGTTAGATCTTTGGTGAGAGGAAGGCGATCACTCAGATTACCTGCTTCCTAGGAGCTTTCAATAGTCGGAACAATAATGCAAGGGAGGGCCAGTATTTTGAGAGGCAAGAATCTGTTCCGGCGTTGGGGAGGGAAGGCTGTTGTCCTGTCTGAGCTTTAAGGCCTCCACAGCCTATTGTTTGCTAGACGAATGATGCCAAGGCCAGAAGAAATGTGGCTGCGTGCCGTTTTTGTGAAGCAGAATGCATGGACCCGAGTGTTTGATCCACCACTAATTTCTCCTTTGAGGGCCTTTTCTGTGTCCATGCCTGCTCTTGGTGGTGTTTAATGTTGCCACAAGGCGCTGAGGAAGGGCCGATTCTTGAGCGCCTTACTACGTGACAGTGAGCCTTCCGTAGCATGCGAAGGCATATAAATAATCGCTTCGAGGTTGATTAGCGCTACCTTATCGCGCCGTCCCTTCGTCATGCCTTCTATTTAGCGCCAACGATGTTCTGTAAGGCAAATGGTCAACTTCTGTTGACAAAATTCGATTAGTCATCTTACCGTACAGTGCAAACTCTGATAGGGAGAGCGGGGCCAATCATTGAATAGCGCGAGGGCAAAGAGCAACAGACTCATCGGCATACCTAAAGGGGTATATGGTTCAGTTTTGAAGAGCACCTTGTTGATTCTAGGGCAACTAAGAAGGCGAAAAGACGAAGTCCGTGGACAGAATTGGTGTCAATTTTGGCACACAATCTTGGTGCGGAAAGAACGGCATCTGGTTTGTGACAAGACCTTAGGCATTAGCTGGAAGCAGAGAATTGGTTTCATCCGGCATTATCTATGTCATGTATTGCGACTGGATCCAAGGTGGAGGGAGCCTAGATACGTGCATGCGGCCAGTAGATCGTGGGCTCCCGAGGCCTGGTGCAAGAATTAGTGTTGCTCTTGGCACAGCACAAAGTGACAAAGTTAATGAGAATTATCGCTGACACACTGCTTCATGGATTGTACCATCGAATTTGTCATAAAAAGCCATGCCAAGAGCGACACCCAGTTCTTTCACCGCCCTTCGGCCTCAGCCCGAAGCTTGGCGCCAAAATTTACGGGAGTTCTCAGATTCCTGCTATGCTACACACCCCTTTAATAGGGGATAGGACGCCCATTTCGCTCATTTAGGGCAGCTACTCTATCTGGCATTGTTGAGATAGCCCTATTAATCTCATCCAGAGTTATTTTATCCCACTCCTCCTGGATAGCCCTGCGCAGAACAGCTTCTTCGAAGATGACCCCCCTGGACTTCAAGCGCTGCTTTATTATTCTCCAGATTGTCTCAATAGGGTTGAGATCAGGCGAATTAGCAGGGTTCATCTCTTATTTGATCCCTAGAAGGTCCTTGAGTGCTTTAACCTTGTTAGGACTCTTGCCCTTGGTATCATGAGGCCCGTCATTATCTTCAATTAATACGTAATCTTTATCCTAATCAGGAGCAACGATTTCTTTCAAAATAGCCATATAATCGTCCTGAATAAGACGCCCTCCTACTCCGGAGCCTGTGTAGAAGTGGAGCTGACCCTTGAAATTCCATCCAATAACTGCGTACATATGGACTGACTGATTTTGGCGCTTGAGCTTGAATTGGGTCTTTGATAGGGCATTTCGTGCTTCAAGCCCTGGTCGACGATGAATTCGAGCCTGTCGTTGCAGGGCAGTAGCAAAATGGCACTCATCACACCATCTATATTGCTTGAATTGATCCAATTGCCAATATCGGCGCTCAAATCCCCATATAATTCGAGCCTCAATATGCCCTTGAGAGAGCATCTTTTTCTGCGCGGCCATATAGGTCCCTACGCCAAAATCCTTCATATTTCTTTGAATAGCACGTTCAGAGCCATTAGCTAGGCCAATTTTCTGTGCCACCCTATAATGACTTGACGAAGCAAAGCCAAAATTAGCATCTTCTACTGCCTCAATTGCTTCACACTCGTACGGAGCAAGTACTCGTTTTCGGCATCGATTGTGGACTTTCTCGCTGCGGCGCGCAGTTCCTTCTTGGATGATTCGATAGCCAGTTGTTTCAGATATATTATGTATCTTAAATAGCTGCGTACGAGGTAATTTGCCAGTGTATCGGCGAGGAGGCGCGCGCGGCGCGGCGTATCAAGCATCGTTTTTAGCGTTCGTGGGGCCGCAGGAGAAGGAGGATCTATCGAATAAGACTTTCGGCAGACGCGCCGTCTATTTCCCTGTTCAGAACTCATTATTCCCTAAATTTGAGTGAGTATTAGTAGAGAAATAGGGGAATGAAGTAGGGGGGGAGAGGAAGGGGATCTGAGAACTCCCGTAAATTTTGGCGCCAAGCTTCGGCCCGAAGCGCCTGAAGTCCTCCATTGGGCTAAACTACCTGCATTGGCTCGAACTCCTCAGCACGGACATTTCTAAATAAATTTGCAAGATTGCAGCAGACGAAATGGGTGAGCTGCCAGCTTTGTTATTGCTGAACTTCTGAGCTTGACGATCACAAAGCTTCAATTGAGCCATGGTATTTCTTAAGTGTGAAGAGTCGCACGAAGACGATAGAGGGGTATCTTAGTGCGCTTGAATGAATACGAGTATTCGTTACTCCTGTTCAATTTCCCTGTTTACCTCCCAATCTTCTCCCCTCCTCTCTCTCCCTTACTCAAGCTTCTCATTTAATTTGAACCCCCCACTCGCCAGTCCTCCATCCGTAAAAACTCCTGATGGATCAACCTGTCTCTGCACTCTCCTCAACTCCCTGAGATTTTCCTCTACAGCGCCACTCCAGACATCCTGATCTCCCCTCGCATAGTTGATGTATTTGTACGGATGCCAAAGTCCCGACTTCTTGGCCGCCTCTTCTGCGCGCTCGAGAGCAAGGGTATGTGCTTGTAACACTAGCTCGTCCTCCGAGGACAAATGCCAGACCCAGACTGCCACGAAGATTGCCAATGGTTCAACGGTTTCGTCAGCGAGTCCGAGGGCGTTCCCCCCACGTACTTTCATTTTTTCGAGCATGTTGCGGGAGAGTGGTTGGAAGACTGAGACCGGAGTGAAATCAGTTAGCCTCGTTTCGATCGCGTCAGCTTCTTCGCGGACGATGTTTGCGATCTCTTGCTCGATGGCAGCGGAAGGGCGATATGTAAATGTACCAACGACGTTTCTTTGGCTGCGGTTGGAAGGTTGGACTTGCTGAATAGTAATATTAGAGAGGGGTTGGATAGATGCAAAGGTAGTGTTGGGAAACCCTTCTATTTGTTCGTATGACTGAAATGGCTCCGGCCAGGTTAAGGGATCGGTATGAGTTAAATGAACGCAAAAGACATTTCCCAGCCAGACACCGCCGTCTTGAAACCAAGTGTTTACAATAACAACGTTGGGGTTCTGATCCACACTTTCAGTGTAAAATTGGTGGTTCAGATTCGCTAGATCGGAAAATTTGTTCCATTCGTAAACTTTGCTCCCACTCCATAAGCCAATGGGATTAGAGAGTTCGTATGCTTCCAGAACGAAGGATGTAACGATACCAAAGTTGGATGGGCCAGCACCGCGAAGTGCGCGATAGATGTCTGGATGAGATTGTTGTGTAATAGTTTGAATAGACGTATCTGGAAGAATCATTTCAAATGAAATGACATTATCACAAGCCCATCCATTACGATTCGAGTAAAAAGATATGCCTCCTAAGTATAAGTCAGTATGATTATAAATAATAGTAATGAAAATCCAAAGAAATACCTCCAAGAGTTAATCCTCCCACCCCTATATCAGCTTGCCTTCCACCCACTACTGTCAGATTTTGTCTTTCCAGTTTAAGATACAATTCACCCCAACGTAAACCGGCACCGATCTTAACGCTCTTTCGATCCTTGGCGACATCAACTCTGTCAAGCCTGACAAGATCGATAGTGACACCATCTTCGGCATTGTTGGAGCCGGGATTAGGATCATGTCCTCCACTCTTGATCGCAAAATGGCATCTGGAAGATCGGCTGGGTAAGTGTAGTCTGTTTGTGAGTGTGGCAGCTGTACTTAGTATCAATCACGGTTTTCAGCACCTGTGAAACCTCTCCCACGGATGAAGGCTCTACTCGACATGCTGGTGTGAGTTCCACCTGCCTGCCATCCCAAAATGCAAAGTTGCCTGTCCTCCCAGGAAATACTGATTGAGGGAGTTGAGAAGACAGTAAGGAGCACTCATTTAAACAAAACTAGGTTCAGTACCCATAGAAATGCACTCCGGGCTGGAAAACCTACAGCATCGGCACAGGCCGTCGAATTGTCGGCAACACTGAGCTGTGACGCTCTTGTTTTCACCAACTCTCGTGGAGTGACGGGTAATTTTGCGTTACCCGCCGCTGCAGAACAAAGCAGACAAAGTAGTAGGAGAGAGATCATTCTGAAAGGAATCGTGATAGCAAGGGTGCTCTGACTGAGAAATATTTAAACCAAAACAATGTTAGATACACTTAGAATTGAAGAGATAGAACGAAAGACGGGATTAAACAGAGTTAGAATTTACTTTGTACATGGGAAGGAATTTTGAGATACGTCGCAAGGATCGATGTCTCGTGTTGAGGGGTTTGTGATACAACCAAGCCACTGAATATGCGTCACCATCCTCTGAAGCGATCTCAAATACGAGAAGAGCTAGGCATGTCAACAAGGCATTTTCAAAGTGAGCCATCGCCGTGACACCAGACTTAGCGAAAGTTGCTGCCCATGCAGGAAAATCAACAGGATCTGAGCCGCAGCCAAAGACAATACCATTCATTTGATTCTGTTACGAATCACTCCGCATTAACACTGGTTTTTTCAATAATCATGGCTTGACCCTCCGCGCAACTGGAGAGCCAGTCTGGAGCTGTTTATTAGCAGACTTGGAATTCCATTTCAAAGCCTTGACTTTACTGGGCAAAGTTTTCAACTTATACTGGACTGTTAGGTATGTGCTTCCTTACATCTCCATCCGCTCGCCGTCCGCAACTCCGGGTAAAATCCGACCCTCGTTTAGATCCTTCTCCAGCCTTGCGATCTCCGCCATGGTCTTCGTCTCACGGATCATCTTCTGAACGCGCTTCTTCTCCGACCCGCTGAGCTAAAACTTTAAGCATAGTCAGGATCTAAAAAACCGGCGTCATCTCCCTCGGTTAAATGTCGCTAATAGGGAACCATTTTTAGCGGCGCGTCGGGTACGCTTAGAAGATGGAAATGAGTACCAAGAGGGTCTAAAAGAGCTTCAAACGTAGCTGAGCAGAGCAGAGGATCAAAGAACAACTCTCAAAGCTCGAGTTCAAGGAAAGAAACACCAACTCGCTACGAAGATATGACTGCCTATGGTCATTCATACGTTCTCTGCAAGGCCAAGAAAGAGGACTCAGTGGGATTCGCGTTGGGAGAGAATGAGTCGTTGATGATATCCAAGAATATCTGCAAGATGGACTTGGAGGATAATGTTGACCGTTGCTACTAAAACTAAAATAAGTTAATAGTCTATCCCCTTCGTCCCCGGACAGGGATGTAGATTGTGCCAATTAGCGCTGTCGATCACTGATAAGGGATTCAAAATGTCAACAAACACCTGTTTCGAGCGAATTGAGGCCATTCTATCTAGCAATTGACTCCAATTGAGTGATGATATCGTTGCCAACATTCCCCTTCGATACAAAGCCAAATTTGACATTTACTACACATATAGGCCGTGTGAGAACCACCTAAAATACCGTTGGCAACGCTATTTTGAGTAAATTCTGTAATATCTGCGCTAAATTTGCGCTTGGGTGCTCTTTTGCGTGGGCAGCCTGGTGAATGGAGTCTTCCCTATTGGCACCGGCCACGCTCTTTCGTTTGTATGTGTTTATGGTGGCGTTTAAACACTATTGTGGGTTGAGGATAAGATTATTTCTTCTCCTTCTTCTTCTTCTCCTTCTTCTCCTTCTTCAGATTATTCGAATGTAATAATTAGTCGGAATGCCTTCGGAACGGTGCATTCGCAGCGGTGCATTCGGCAACGGTGCATTCGGCGTTTGGGTCTTGGCGTGACTCCGCAGTCGTAATTTGTATGTAGCGTTCCTGGCATTTCCCAACACTCTCTTACGCAACTGCCATTTGTAATTTGAGCTTGCTATCGCTTCCCAAATTGGTATTGAGATAGAAATCCTTGGTGTTGAATTATTGCTATTACTGCTGCCATGACGACGCCGTGGACTGCCCATTCTGATTGCCCAGAGCACGTCAAAATAGAACTCGAAGCCCGTGTGCGGTCCTTACCCCCCTCCTTCTTGCTGCTCCCTATCGCTGGTGAGGTCTTCGAAGGCCCTGATACTTGTCAAGAGCGTCTCCAGGGCTGGGCCTTATCACAGGGATTTGCTATCGTTCGAACAAGTGGCAGCCTGAAGCAAGCGCGCCCTCGATTCGAATTTCGTTGTATCCATCACGGAGATGATACTGCTGATACTCGCAAGCTTGAGAAGCACGTTATACGAGATGAAGAAAATAACGTTGTATCTCGTCGCAAGCAAGAGGCTACCCGTATCAACGCCCGCAGTTGTCCATATCTTGTTATTCTTTCGCGTAAGCAAGTAGGGAAGCGTGGATCTGGTATATATGGCCTTGTACTAGGTATCTCGAATGATACTCATAGTCATTCGATGGCCATAAACCCACTGAGATATCACAAAGAACACGTTAAAGTGCTGCCAGGCTATCTCCCTGCGGTTGAGCTAGGTAAGTCTCTTCGTACGGCAAATATCTCGTATTCTGTGGCCCTCAGAGTGCTCGAACAGGCTGGATTTCCTCTTGATCGTAAGACCTATTACAACATTCGATCTCGCGCTGCTTCTGCTGAACAAAATGAGTTCGCAGGGCTCGTTGTCGCTCTAGAGGAAGCAGGATTCGTCTTTGAATGTCGAATAGAGGAGGAGATCGATTCAGAAACTAATATAGCTGTTAGTAGACAGTTATAACAGCTTTGGTTTGCTCATCCTCAGCAAATTCGCTATGCTCAACGGTTTACAGCAGATTTCGTTCTTTTCGTTGACGGTACTTTTCAAACGAACGCTCTAAACCTTGTGCTCATCGTTACTGCTGGTATTACTAACTGTAACTCAACGTTTGTGAGCTCTCTATCATTCGCTCGCTCCGAAGCAAAATTATCCTTTGATTTCATCTTTGAGAGCCTCAAAAAGCACGTTTTTTGCCCTCCTATTCCGGTACCACGCGTTGTTATTAGCGACCAAGCAGCAGGGATGAGAGCTTCTATGCCTATATCTCTTCCGAATACGATTCTTCAATTTTGCGACTGGCACGCCGTTCAAAACGTTGAAAAGAGGCTTGCTGACAAGGGCTATTCAAAGGAGATACGCAAGGAGATGAAGTCGCTACTGTGGACCTTTGTTAAGAGCAATACTCATCTTGATTTGGAGGCTACTCGTACAAATATCTATTCAAAATTGAAGCCAGATGAGATCAGATATCTTGACGAATATTGGGGCCCTAAGGAGTCGCAGTTTCTACGAATCCACACTCGAAAGTATCCAAATTTGGGCGCTCACTCGAATCAGCGCTCTGAGAGCCTCCACCCTGGCACAAAAGACATTCTGAATAAGCAACTGAGTATAGAAGAAGCTAGTCGTCGGCTAGGAGTTACTGTGCAGTCAAAACTAAGGCAGTTATCTCAGGAGGAGGCTCAGAATAGTGGTAGGTTACCTCGTACGCTCGACTCACAAGCATTTGTACTGCTAGCAGATACTATATCGCTTTTCGCTATTTCGAAGATATCCTCTGAATGGGAGGCCACAAAGGATGAGATGAATAAGGGCACTCTACGCCCTGAGCCCTCTTGTTTCGAATGCGAGATACTTGTTCGATTTGGCCTCCCTTGCAAGCATTATCTTGCACAGCCGTTTGAAGATGGCGCCCCTATCCCTCGATCCTTAATACACCCTCGTTGGTGGATTAATGGTGAGCCTATTCGTATCACCAATTGGGTACCAACATACCGTTCTTTCGCCCTACCGATATCCCCCCCACGAAATTCTGCCTCTTACTCATACCACTCTTACATCTCTCCTAATAGGAATCAGATTACAGGGCTTGGTCTGCAAGTTCTTGAGGCTAGAGAGGCTCTTACTGGCTATGCTCGTGCGCGTTATGATCGAGCAGCTACAAACGCACAACAGGGTCTTGTTCAGTTTGCTGAGGAGCTCCAGGGGGATGATCTTAATACTCGAATGCCTGATATTATTAAGAGGCCAGGATGGAATAGGCAGTTT